CGTCCGAGCACTTTCCATGTTAGTAACGATAGAGCAATGAGAGACTCGCCACATCATGCCTGTGAGAGAAAGGTTGGTGTAAACTCAAACTCTCACCATATATCGTCTATATAAATATATCCTGAAAAGTTTCTTAACATCGGTTGATTAATTTCATGGTGAAAACATTGACTTGCCTCATAAAATATGACATCCTGTTATTGATTCTCACACGAATGTTCGACTTCAACAAATGTAGTGAAGCATTTGAAACTCGAGTAGAAGGAAATTACTTGAAAAATAATTGAAACTCACCTGAAAGCGAGCTGATTGTATAATGCCCCTCGTGCCAATGACACTTCCACTAAGCTTTTCTAGGGCGTATGATTTCATTGAATTTACATTTAAATTTCGGGTCATCAGGAGACAATGTGTACCGTTTTGGACCTTCCTCTCAAGATGCACATTTGAAACTAGATTATGTTGTGAGAGGTTCATTGGTCAGAAAACAATTATATATTCTTTTAAAAATTAAGTCACTTCTTTTACATAACAATTCCTTTCAGGACGTGCCCTATCGAAGTACTCCACATCTTCCCGTCTTTGGTTTTTCTAACTCTTGCCCGTTTACCATCAATTTTAGTCTTGTTCCCGCAGACATTCACTCAAAATCGTTAAATAGATTACTCGCCGTTTCGTATTGTTACTCATGTCTTTTGTTTAATAACAATTATATTGTGAAAACATAGATTTGCATAATCAAATTTGACACGTCAAAACAAATGATTATTAATATTTTTATAAGATTATAAGCTGAAACGTATAGGATATATAGCTTATCTAAATATATTCTGAAAATTTTATCAACGTCAGTTTTTTTATACAAATTTTATGATGAAAACATTGACTTGCATAATAAACCCTGATATAATTTATTACAATAAACAAAGTTGCACAAAAGTAAAATATAAACAGGTGTAAATATTTACTTACATGTAATTTCGCTAAGGGAAATGTGCGTGTGTATGTGCGTGTGTTTGCGCGAGTGTGTTTGTGTTGTTTCAGATTTGCTACATTTATAGAGAAAGACTTACTTAATATCAGAGGGTCGATTTAGGAAACAACACTGGTGATTGGCAATTTCTCGCTTCAATTCGATGTTCAGCAAATCACCATGCAGTGTTGATCTCTATGTCCACACTGTCGACATACACAGACACACAGACACACGCACATATATGCAGGGTGCGATGGAAAAATTGTCGTCTAAATTACGCAAAAACGAAAATAACACTGACATCTCATTTTAAAAGATATATTTACCAAAATTGCACAAACAAATCTTGAAATACTAAAGAGTAAATTTATTCAATAAAATCGCCATTGGCTTCAACCCCGGCCCCCAGACGACTTCGGAATCTCCTGCAACTCTTCTGGACAGTCTCTGTTTAAGTTGGTAAATTACTGCCATAATACTTGCCTCCAGTTCATCTCTAGTGTTACAAATAGTTTTGTTGGTCTCTCGCTCAAATGCACCCCAAACATAATAATCAATGGGGTTGCAGTCTGGGGAAATAGGTGGCTATATGTAAGGGGTGATGTGGTCGCAGAAATTGCCTGACAGCCATGACTTGAGTTCTCCTGCATGTGTGGCATGGTGCGGAGTCCTGTTGTCAGACATAAGGCTTTCCAGCAGCCACCCTAATGACCCAAGGCAGCACTACATCCTCAAGGCATTTGACGTAGACCTCGGTGTTGACTCTGAAGCTATCACCAATAAATTCTTTTCTTTTCAGAACGAGTGAGTTTTCCGAGTCACAGTACTCTGAAATGTTCGTATTGGAACTTCCGGCACGAATGCCAAGCAGTACAGTATGCAGTTTCTGGTGGTGGGAATTGCATCATGGTGCACTTTTTCTCACAGACGGTGGCCCACTGACCCCACTATACTGTGCAATCGACAAAATCAAAAACAAACAAGGCGCATGGGCAAAATTTTAAAAAATAAATAAAATGGCGACAATTTACCCATCGCACCCTGTATATATGTAAGAGGACACAGAAGTCAATACCGAATGATGGCAGTCAATTTTATTCACTATCAAATAGACTTTCGCCACTCGATGTTGACCTCTGTGTCAAAATATAGCATACCTTCAAACTATATTTTTATCATATATATATATATATATATATATATATATATATATATATTAAGTATAATAATAATTAAGTAATAAACAGTATTAAATAAACAGAGCATTTACTTAAATACTTGTATCTATAAAAGAATGTTAAACATAAAAAAATGTCTTTAATAAATTGTCGGACTTTGTCCATTTCTTAATATATATATATATATATATATATATATATATATATATATATATGTGTGTGTGTGTGTGTGTGTGTGTGTGTGTTGTGTGTGACTATTTAGGACTCCATCAGACTAAAGTAATGGTTTTGTGGATGGAATTATATGTTCGGAGGAAGAGGAGGGGAAATATAAAAATGCAAGCATTTGTTATAACTATGCGTAGACAAGAAACGCTGAAAATTTGGAAAGCTGGAAATTTTAATTTCATTCTTTTTATTCTCCGCTGTACATTATATATATATATGTATTGTGTGTGTGTGTGTGTGTGTGTGTGTGTGTGTGTGTGTGTGTGTGTGTGTGTTTTCCTGTTGTCTTTATTCATATATATACATATATATATATATATATATATATGCCTGAATTCCTATGTTGGCTTAATGTACATCCATATGAATGTTGTAATAATACATATACGCCTACAGATATATATGAGCGAATGAAAGAAATCTAGGAAAGAAAAAATATTAGTGTGATTTGTTATTCCTTTTTTTTTTCTTTTGTTTCTAATCTGAAACCACCACTAAGACACACTTCTGTTTTGATTGAATAACGCTGACTAAAATTATCGTCTGCTACTGTCGGTAAATCCTGTTTGCTTAGTCCCGTGTAGACATTCTGGTGTGTTTATTAGACTAACAAATAACGGAATGATGCTAGAATAAACACCAAGGGGTAGCGAAAAACTATAAACAGGGTGCATATGGGGATAAATCACACTTACACACACACAGAGAAATATATATATATATATATATATATATATATATATATATATATATATATATATATATATATATAAACATTTGCATATTAGGAGTAATTGTAATTTTGGTTGGGTAAATACAGAGTTTCATTAACCAGGCAACCATCTTTGTTAGAAAAGAAGCTGATGTTTTGTCTTTATATTTGCAGTCATTAATGTAAAAATCGGGTCTAATAAAACGATTTAATGTAACAAATATTAATAGACATTAATGTCTATTAGTCTGTTAATATTTGTTAGTAAATAGAAAGAATGAAGGACAATTCAACAAAATATGAAATGATTATCAATTTACACAAAATTTCACGTATATTGCAGTGGTTAATGTTCTGGGATTACAATTTAATTTCCTATATCACAATGAATGCTAGACAATATCCTCACAAACGAAAGAGAAATCTGTAGCAACACCTTCTACAATGAGCGGCAGAAATATCTGTTACATTTTAAAGGTTAACAAAAATAACTGCCATTGAAAAAACTAATTTCACTGTTGTCTAAACAAAGTGTGATAGTTTTTATTAATCTAGTTTTAAAACTGACGTCCTTCAAATGATGATCTCTATTCGCCATACATGATTTCTAAAGTTTTCCATCAACCGGAAGTTTGAGCGCTTCGAGATCATCTAGGTGGCTTTCTTTTAAGCGCTGAACCAGTGGCCCTGGAATTTTCAACCTATAGCAATATCAAATTTTTATCCGGAACCTCATAATTCCGACGTAACATGTGATGAGTACGAAAAGATCTGTGTTGCAATTACAGATTTACGAGTCTTTAAAATGTTTTCACAGCAAAAGTACGGTGTGCACCAGTCCAAGCCATTATGGCATCAGGAAAAAATGGTAAGATATTAGTTAGATGAAGACATCCTTGTCCTTTGTTGTGGTAGGATCCACCTAATTTGCATAGTGGAGTACCGACCATATAAATATGGTTGGTACCGGGAAGAGAGGAAGGAATCAAGAGATTCAACCAGAGACTCTGCCCGACTGCGACTCAGTCAACACATTCTCCAGGAACGGTCTTACCCGGAATATACAGTTTTATATGTGGGAGGTGCTACTGCCGCACAGTGTATATTAGCAATTGGCAAAATTCAAGGAAACTAGAACAAGGAAATTTATACTTACAATCAGAAAGAAACACTTGAAATTTCTGAAGAAAGAGGTAAGAAGAGGAAAATGGTAAGAGAGAATGGAAAGTAACTCCCTTAACGAGTTTGTGTGACTGCATTACCTAACATTGACAAATAGTCATTATAAAGGACAGGAAGCTGTAGAGGGCCATGATCATCTACATCCTGACAGATCTTGGCATATCAAAGATATTCACTGCGATCTCCGAATAGGAAAGAAATTTGAAAATGTCAGATTTAATGGCTATTTAATGGTTATTTAATATTTATTTAATGGTTATTTAATATTTATTTAATGGTTATTTATATGGTGAAGGATCTGACTTAACTTGATTAGAACTTTTCAATCGTAAAGCACAAAGTACCTTCCCAAGAAATCTAGAACCGATACGTACGAGCCAACATTCAAAAGGGAAAGGTGAGCAGTTTACATACCCTTAATGTGCCGGCTTCAGCGATGGTTGAACATCTGCTTAAGATTGATTTGATTTTTACGGCTTTATCAACCCGTTGCAGGTTATTTAAAGCCATAAAATTTTTTTAAATTGTAAGAATTTTTTGAAGATAATTGTTTATTGATACAAGTCATACTAATTAACCCATAGCTGCGTGAGAAGAGGTGGATTCATGCCTTCCCAAGAGTATTTGCGCGTAAGTGAATATAACGAACCCAACTGGAATTGGAACTTAGTTCTTCGATTTTCAATTCTGGGCCGTTATCCATTACACCACCAGCACATCCAAGCTTACAGCACCAGATATTCTCAAGTGGTTACCCATCGAGGTACTAACCAGGCTTGACATTGCTTAACTTCAGTAATCGTACGAAAGCGCTGTTTCAACGTGATATAGCAGTAATCAACATTTGTCTTATAGCCCGGAAATGTTCTCTATGCTAAGTAAAACTAATACCGGTTATCACTTGAAGGTTTTGGAATCATTATAAATTAAGCCCTACCAACCATCTCTTTGTAAGCAGAAGAGGTGGTTGATGGACTTAAATGTAATTAGACGTTAAAGTTATATTTTGTGTTTGCATATAGCATTAATCTGGAGGTGTATATTTTAGTGGGTGTGCAATATTTTTATTTGTCTTCGATTTTTGCTCTGATAAGAGATGACTGATAAACCTATTTAGCTGTTTTTGTATCGTTAGATTTCAGTTTTACCAATTTTTTGTAATATATATATATATATATATATATATATATATATATATATATATATATATATATTGGGGCAGCAATTACTCTTTTATACAAGTTACATTAAAAAAGACTTACAATGCGATTAATTTCTTTGTTGGCTGTCGGGTTATGTAATTGAATAATTGTGCATTTGGGCGGCAATACCTCTTTTATACACATTTCTTATAAATATATATATATAAAGTCATCCACAGACAGACTGTTTCGCAGCTATTCAGTGTGGCTAGACATCCGGTTGCCTCAAGCTAGGATCGAAACTCGACTGAATTGGCGTCGGCTTAGAGGTAGAATGAAGGTATTTATTTTTAGATAAACACACAGAGTGACTGACAGTCAATATCAATTCGCTTTTGCCGAAGAGTCTCACTATATTAGCCATAATAGTCACTGTTTACAAACCCACACCTCTTCCCCAGAGAGCTCAACTGAAATTAATTTTTCAGGAGCTAATATATATATATACCAGACTCCCTCCGAAACATACTAGTAGAAAATACAAACATAATAACCTCATCCACCCGTAAAAACGATTAAAAATAATGGAAGCCCTAACAATAAAAACGAAAAAGCCAACACTTAATAATATTAACTACGGACACGGCCACAAGGTGCTAACTAAGTTCGGAAAATAAAACATATCTATAACACTAAAAACATACACGCAACTCATACACCTAATTAAATTGAAAAAATAAAATCATCCTTGATATTGGCTAAAAGAATAACCGGAAGCGCTCGAAATTATAGAACATTTGGACGGATTCTACAAACTCTGTATCCAAAAAAGAAAACACTCGTTCGAACACAAGAAAAAATTAAGTAAAAAGTTTCATTGTAGTACCTTGTCTGTCGTTTTAGTTAAACATGCATATATATATATATATATATATATATATATATATATATATATATATATATATATATATATATAACTATACGTTTCAAAAAAACCCTCGAATTTTTGATTTGCCAATAATCAAATCAATCTCGAAGGAAAAAAGGTTTTAAAAAAAGAAAGCTAGAAACATGAAAGTCTGTCGAAAAAAATCGCACAGATACAGATTCAAAGCCCAAAGAAAAAACCCCGACACGAGTAAACAACTAACAAAAGAGCTCGATACAATCGTAGAGCAGACCTAGATATACTCTGACGATCCGCTTAGGTGAAACCTGGGTAGGTTTGTCTGACTCACTAGGTTTATATATATATATATATATATATATATATATATATATATATATATATATATACCATTTTTCTTTTTATATTTTTTTTCTTATATATTTTCGCTTAGTGTTCTTTTAAGTGTTATTTTTTTGGGGACATAAAGTGTGTAAAAATTGTTCGAATGTATAGAGAAAGAAAAGAAAAGAGAACAGTTATACGAACACAAAAAAAAAATCGAATAAAAAGCTTAACCGCGGTACCTTGTCAGTGGTCCTTAATGAAACTTAGAAATAAATTAAATTATTTTAGAAATGTTCTTTTTTAGAGAATCGTGGTAAAGGTAATGCTTTTTACACCTCTTACCCAACGCTTATTTAATTTTATGAAATTTCGAGAAATTAAATTTTGTGCCACTTAATGTTTGTATTGTTATAACAGAACTCCTTGGAGAATTAAAATCATTAATTCTTTTTGTAAAACTGGAAACACATTTACTAAAAATGTACTCTGAATCGTAAAATAAGAAATGCAATAAAACTAAAACATTAATTAGAAAAGCTTTTCCTTGCTTTCATGGGCATTATTGTCTTAAGGAAATAAGATTTTTTTCGATGAATAATGAATATTTACAAAATTTGTTGTCATTTTGTTTTTTAGATTTTAATTAGAATAATCTATAAAGATTTAAATCTTTTAAATTTCCGTATTACTTTGTGTCGGTTAGATGATATTGTTATTAAGTAAAAACTATATTTACTAAACAAACGGAAAAGCTTAGTACAATTCATCGAACGCCATTATTTTAAATAGAGTATGGTTTTTGTGTCGATTTTTGTAAATATGGATATCTATACACAACATTATCAGAAAATAAGAGCGATAACTAAAGTAAATTTAAAGCCAAAGTACCTAAAATTCAATAAAATTAGATTGTGGAGAATATTTTGCTAAATTTTAAAGATTACTGGGTAGTTAAAATTATATTTAAAAAAGTCGCTTACGTTATATTCTTCACGTAAATTTTACAGATATATCCACTATAAAAAGAATTAGATAAATTTCCGTCTGTCATTCAAGCCTGTCAACGTCTAAAATAAACATTTACCGCCGTATTAAAATGTGTATTCCTACAGTACTTTAAACTTAAAGTTCGTAATATTTGTTTCAAACCAGATTAATTAAACTTTAAATCGGCTAATATTTCTCAAATAATGTTTCAGAAAAGTATACTTTATTTTTGAAAGATTTTTTAATAACGAGAATTATACTGCGATGACGAGAGGCAAAAAATGGCGCTAAAATCAGCGATGCTATGGATTTCAGAATGAAAACTACTTTCAGGCAATTTAAATTGATTTTGAAATGCAGCAAAGTATTTTGATTATCGAAAAAATTAAATTTAATCTATTAGCTTAAAATTAAAACTAAAATAAAAGCTTCAAGAAAGATTTTAAATTTTTAAAAATTCATTTTAAACCTTTGGTCTCGCGAATCCTTGGAAATAGTACATATATATATATATATATATATATATATATATATATATATATATATATATATAATAAAAATTTTTTTTATTTAACATTCTTTTTTATAGATACAAATATTTTTTAAATATTCTGTTTATAATAAACAGTATTTCAACATTTAAAAATAAATTTGCTTAAACAGAGTATTTCTTAAAATGTGAAAAATATTTGTATCTATAAAAGGAATGTATAAACATAAAAATGACTTTTATATATATATATATATATATATATATATATATATATGTGTGTATGTGTGTGTGTGTGTGTGTGTGTGTGTGTGTGTGTGCTTTTATGGTGAAATCAGGCTAAAACAGGAGGTAATTGAATTGGTTTGAAATTAAAGTTAAGCAGTGTCAAGCCCAGTCAGAACTTAGATGGGGGACCACTATAAGCGAAAATCGGGTACAAAACCGGTTGGGCATGGGAATAGCAACTTCCTTGCTAAGAAGACCACACCAGCAACGCCTCGTCAAAGCAGTGAACCCCATACTCCTCAGTGGGGTCTCCAGGACAAGAGGAAGTGGAATGTATGTACGTATGAACGTAAGTATAAAACTGTTTTATACCTGACGTTCCTTAAGTGATAGGTGTATATTCAAATTTAAATTTTCCAAAAATGCTAGGATGCGTCTAACAACCTCTGCCGATGATACTGACAAAATGTCGTTCCTGATAATGTTAACACATGTACTTTAATAAAAAGAAGAAACACAATAAATCTTCAAAGGAAGACCAGAAACCTTATACCCTTCATTCTGTTGATGTTAATTTGCTAGAGTCCAGTAGTTTGTTTAACGGCATATCAACATCCTTATGGGTCATTTAATGCCGAAATTCAATATTCTTGTGAGCTTTAAGATAATAAAAATATGATATATGTTATTTTGTATTCACAATTGATTACATGGTAGATGATACTCAGCTTTTGTGCGTATACATGTTTGTGTGGACATCATTACTAGAGGCAGTGATATGTGTGTTTATATTGTCATTTTGTTGATATTTTCGAATACAGTTTGATTTCTTTAAGAAATTGTAGGATATTATATGGATTAATGTCATGAATGTGTTCTTTCATGTTTGCTTTTCTTTGGTTACTATTGATTGGAGACATGTCAACCTCTATGGGTTATTGTTATACCAGAACATTACCTATTCTATTGTAATAGACTCTTGTTACGGTTTTTTGGGTATATATACCTATGACTAGTGACCGAGTCAGAATGACTTATTTCCCTTTGTAGTCGACCAATGGAAGGTTGACCAATCAGAAGCCGCCTAACACTGTATTCGTCGTGTATAAAGGCGGCCATCTTGTTTCCTCCTACCGGAAGGACCAAAGGCGACCAGGAGAAGGATGAACTACACTCTGCTGTGATATCCACTGCGAACCTAAAGTACGCTTTCCTACTGTCTCCGAAATATTCACTGCCAACCTCTGGATGCGATACTCGAGGACGACCGTCATGAGAATGTCTAACAACTCTCCCACACATAATAAGTAGTAGTAGTAGTAGCGGTCGCCATTTGAGCTCAGTGGAGTTGAGCGAGTCAGTCGATGTCGGACATTGAAGTATCAATCACCACAACTAGATTGCTGCGTCATTAACTCTTATTTCAAGTTACTAACGTAACGTTCAATCAGCGGTATAGAAGGATCCAGAATTTCGACACCAGTTTTTTTTTTTTTTTTCAAGATACACTTGACCTAAAGTGTTCACTAAAACATATCGTGTACCTATGAGATCTGTGATTTCAATCCCTGACCCAGGTTGTACTGAAATATCATATTCTCTGATTCGATAGAAAAAACAATGAGTATTAACTGATATGAAATAATCCCCCCACCCATCAAACATGGAAAATGAAAAGAGAAAAATCTACCACCGTGTAGAGTTCGATTTAAAATTCTCAGAAGCTACCGAGTAGGAAGGTATATATC